CTGGACAACCTCTGAGTCAGCGCTTCGAACAGCACTGGGTTGCCTGACCCAGTAATTTTCCCCAACGTGAAAAATAAAAAGAGTTCAGACTTGGCAGAAAGATAAGTTATTATAACGTCACAGTAAAGTCTCAACTAAGCAAAGCAAGGTCCGTGGAATCATAAAGCTGATTACATTAATGGCGTCTTCATTAAATATTGCTCAACAGGCTCATTTCTCTGGAACAATTTATCTCTAGGCATCTCTTCCAGAGAGACTATAAATTCGTTGGAACTGACTAAGAAACCGAATGCTTGTTTTCGTCTTTGTCTGAATTAAACCACCATTCTCAAAGTGCTTCAGTTGAAGAACGGTTGCAGGAATTGGGTATGGCTAGTCCAGGGGCAGGCAACCTTGGCTCTTTTATCACTCGTGGACTTCAACTCCCAGAATTCCTGAGCCAGCCATGCTGAGGAGAAATGGAGAGGTTTCCATGCTGAGCCAGGCTGGCTCAGGAATTCTGGGAGTTGAAGTCCACGAGTCATAAAAGAGTCAAGGTTGCCTACCTCTGGCCTAGGCCTAGGGCGCTTTATGACTCGTGGACTTCAACTCCCAGAATACCTGAGCCAGCATGGCTCAGCTTGGAAACCTCTCTCTTTCCCCTCAGCACGGCTGGCTCAGGAATTATGGGAGTTGAAGTCCACGAGTCATAAAAGAGCCAAGGTTGCCTACCCCTGGGCTAGTCTATTGAAAGATTGAGGGCAATAGAAGAAGGGGACGACAGAGAATGAGGTGGCTGGATGGAGTCACTGAAGCAGTTGTTGTTGTTGTTAGTTGCGAAGTCGTGTCCGACCCATCGCGACCCCAGAGACAACGTTCCTCCAGGCCTTCCTGTCCTCTACCATCTTCTGGAGTCCATTTAAGCTCAGGCCTACTGCTTCAGTGACTCCATCCAGCCACCTCATTCTCTGTCGTCCCCTTCTTCTATTGCCCTCCATCTTTCCCAGCATTAGGCTCTTCTCCAGTGAGTCCTTCCTTCTCATTAGGTGGCCAAAGTACTTGAGTTTCAACTTCAGGATCTGCCCTTCTAAAGAGCAGTCGGGGTTGATCTCTTCTAGGACTGACCGGTTTGAATGCCTTGCAGTCCAAGGGACTCGCAGGAGTCTTCTCCAGCACCATAGTTCAACTGAAGCAGTAGTCATGAGCTTAAATGGACTCCAGAAGATGGTAGAGGACAGGAAGGCCTGGAGGAACGTTGTCCATGAGGTCGCGATGGGTCGGACACGACTTCGCAACTAACAACAACAACAACAGGTCTAACGAAGAGAAGGACCAGGGGAGACATGATAGCAGTCTTCCAATATTTGAGGGGCTGCCACAGAGAGGAGGGGGTCAACCTATTTTCCAAAGCACCTGAAGGCCAGACAAGCAATAACAGATGGAAACTGATCAAGGAGAGATTCAACCTGGAAATGAGGAGAAATTTCCTGACAGTGAGAACAATCAACCAATGGAACAGATTGCCTTCAGATGTTGTGGGAGCTTCATCACTGGAAGCTTTCAAGAAGAGACTGGACAGCCATCTGTCAGAAATGGCGTAGGGAAGCTTTTGGTTACCCAAATACAACTTACTTTGAAATTATAAACAAGAGAGACATTTTGAACACTGATGGGAAATTAAAATTTAAAAAAAAAAAGCAAAAACAGGATACTGATTGAACATATGGATATTAAGTACAAATGCAATTAAGGTATGTTTTGGTTAGAAACGATTTTAAACTGACATTATTGATATGGAAACTAATCAAGGAGAGAAGCAAGCTAGAACTAAGGAGACACTTCCTGACAGTGAGAACAATTAACCAGTGGAACAACCTGCCTCCAGAAGTGGTCAATGCTCCAACACCGGAAGTTTTTAAGAAGAGACTGGACAGCCATTTGTCTGAAATGGTATAGGGTTTCCTGCCTGAGCAGGGGGTTGGACTAGATGACCTAGTTGGAAGTTGCCAAGTTGGAAGACCCCTGCACTAAATAAATGGCCAAAAATTTAGGACTAGTTATAGCCTGTTCTCGTAGTGGTCAACCACCTGCATAAGAAGCCTATACGTCTCCCAGCAGGTGGTCTTCAGAAGAGACCCTACCTCCCATCAAAGCTGAGAATCAATGATCTCCAGAACTTCCCTAAACAAACTATTATGATGTAAAAAATAAAAAACCCAGCTCACGCTTTATAACTGTTCTTTGAATGGACAACATATTCTACACAGACAGATTAGTTTACACATTATGCTATCCCATGGTTTATCAGACAAACCATTACTGAATTCACACAATGGGACTGAGCCTGAAAGTCAGGATTTTACAAACCCACAATGACAGGGATCGTGCAACATCTCAGCCAAAACTAAATAATCAATTATGGCTTAATGCATTCTATAAACCAGCTTGCATCTGAGCAGCCCTTAGCACAACCCGGTGCAGTTGGCTACTTCTATTATCCCCCTATTGGAGAATGGGATTTGAGGAAGAAAGAAAACGTACCTCTAGTAAGATACTAGCTGAGGAAAGATTTGAATGAGGGAGTGCTTAATTCAGCATATATAGGTAGCTTCTATCTATCATCTAATTTATAAAAAGTTGATATTCACTTTTCAACTATTTCAACTGTTGAAAGCCACCAGAAATGGGTAATATGAAACATGATTTTAATATATCTTTTTCTACTCACTGGAATAAAGCCCATTCCAATTCAGCTTTATAAAAAGGTGTTTAAAATAAGAGTGGCAAAATAAATTCTTGTTCAGAAATGCCTTCCTGAACATTGGACCATCATTATCTCCACGCAGTTGAACCCCTTATTTTAAGAAACGTTGGCTCCCACAAATGAACGTGCAAGATTGGTCCCGATCCTTCGGCACGGGACTTACACCTTCTTTTCAAGGATTAAAAAAAAGCAACATCCCATCCCATCAGCCCCCATCAAACAGGGCTCACCTGGCCGTTTCCTTCCATTCCATCTCTTGTCCATCCACAGGTAGAAGTTCATCCAGTTCCGTGAAGAGCTGAGGGGGTGCAGGGCTGTCGTCATCTTCTCCCAAAATGAAACGGATGCGCTCCGCGGCCGGAGAGACTGCAGAGGTGAAAATACTGCGGTTAACGGACTGAAGAATAACTAAGGATGTGCGCTTCCTCTCCTTCACCTTCTCTCCATAGCCATTGGGTTGCTTCTGCTGGTGATGGTCTCCTCCATCTGACATGTTCGCTCTGGAACGTGGGCTGTCGTTCCTCTTCTTCTTGTCCTTAAACTTCCTAAGGTACCTACGTCTAGATTCCTCCCTTCTTACACTTAAAACTTAAAGCTTGGGGTAAAGTTCAAGAGGGCAAGGGACTTTTTCCCCCACAACTCATTTAAGATGGGTGTTAGCAGCAAAGCCACACAGCTCCTCGCCGAAGAAAAACCAGGACAGAACTTCTAGGCTCAACACCAATTTGTTCTCGGGTAGGTGCCCAGAGAATTTTCATATTCTGATCAGCTGAGGTCCTTTCAAGACTTTTTCTTTATAGGCTAGAACCAGTTCGAGCCAAACTATCTGGGAGGGGGGGCACCTTATGCAGAGGAAGTGGCATCCCATTGCCAATTTCCCCTCCCTTTGTGCAAAATGGGAACTTTCATTGGCTTGCGAGGCAGCGTGTTACCCCTCTAAGACTCATTACCAATGCAAAAGGGAATATTTAACAAAATAGACTCTCGCCTACTTTTACACAGAAGGCTGTGTGTGTTTGGTCCATTTAGTTATCCAACACGCCGGGAGAAAAGAAAGAAAGAAAGAAAGAAAGAAAGAAAGAGAGAGAGAGAGAGAGAGAGAGAGAGAGAGAGAG